TTTTAAACGTATTACAGTGTCTTTATTATTAAGATAATATAAATGAACTGGAGGACCCATGAAATCTGTAATACTTTTTAAAACATATAGTCCAGTATCAACACTGGAGACAACATAGCTAACAAAATGTTTATTATAAGAGAGTACATTTAAAGTATTACATAAAAACAATACTTTTTCATCAAGACATATAATTTTTTTTAATTTATATACTAATGTTGTATTGTTAAATAAAGCTGTAAGTATATGATTGATTTTATACACTGTGTTGTTGTATACAATTTGGTCATAACAAAGAGCTTGATCAAGTGCAGTCAAATCATTAGGTGAAAACAAAATTTTAATTTTTTCAAAATATTCGCATGAACCAAGTGGAGAGCCTAAATTTGTCGAGATACAAGAACTGTTGCTTAAATTTAAAATATAATCAGAAAAATTAATGGAATATTTTATACCTAACGAAATAGGAATATGAACTCTTGAAGTTATGTTTTTGGTGTATGTTTTAAGTTGTCTATGCTTAGACTCAAATCTATAACTCCTTAAATATTTTAAGGGCCCTGACTTTTTTATTATATTACAATAGTGGATAATTAAATGATGTTTTGGCTTTAATGAATCTTGAAACAACTCAGTATATTTATTATTATGATATGTGATATGTTTTTCTAAATTTAAAATAATTTGATTATTGAATTTTGGTAACAACAGTAAATCAATCATCTCAATAAAATTAACAAAAAACAACCAAATTTGATTATTCTCAGGGACTAAGTCTCCTATTAGAAGTTGAAAAAAATGAATAAATGTCTGCATTTCCCTTGAAGACATTTTGAATTTTAATGTATTTTTTTTAATTTGCTTTATAGAAGGGGACATGTTTCCAATTTCAGTGTCACCATAATTAAATCCTTGTTTTCTACTATTTAATGTTTCCAAACTAAAAAACCCCAAATTAATTAAATTACATATGATATGGTTCATATCGTATACACAAATTCCCTCATAAATATCATGCATTATATCCACTGCATAGTTATTAACAACATGGAAGGAATATACTTTATTAAATATAGATTCTTCATATATACCAGTAATTTGACAATTATTAGTCTTAACATGTTCATCATAATTTTGTTTGTTACGGAGTAAGTTGATATTTTCACTGGCAAGTACTTGAGTACTTTTTTTGTCAGAAATACAAAAACGACAGAAATAATTTGATGAAAATGACCTTGCAAATCCTAAAACACTATTTACTCCAAGATTATCCCCAACAACTAGACCTAACAGAAATTTAATCTTAAATTGTTTTCCATCATTTAATGTTACATTTATTCCATGACTTTGTAGTTCATTAATTTCATCGACCAAAAAATAAAAACATTTGTCATTTCCTACCAATTTTACATCTTTGGAGTTAAATAAGGCAGCTACAAAAATATTATTTAAATTTGATTTTAGTCCTTCAGGAGCAGTAGGAAATGAATAATAAACACCTAAAATAGAAGATGAATTTGAACCCAATGGATTGTTCACCTCAAAATCATCAAAATATAAGAAGTAGGGTATATAAATAACACCATTCTCATTGAACAACAACATTTTATCTTTCCATAATTGACTATTAATGAAATTTGTAAATCCATTGTCATTTTTCAATAAATCTTGATTTTTAATATACAAATCTAAAATACCGGGTGCCTCAAAGTATTTTCTAAATTGGAATTTTAATGGCAAGATAACTCCTTTGACTTTTTTTTCATCAACAGTGTTAATGTTATTTATTCGCACATCATCTATGGTGTTATCTAAATTAATAATTTTAGGCTTTTCATAATAATCATTACTTTGCAAAGATTTAAGAAATTTGTACTCAGTATCTAATTCTGCAAATGGATTTTCACAGAAATTAATAATAGATTTAAGTGCATTGTTTTGTTTAGTGTTATTGTCAACAATTAATTTCTTTAATTCATGAGCGATGGAATTGGTTATTATATTTGTCACATTTTGTTGAAGTTGGATAGCATCTTTTCTGGAGAAATTAAATTTTCCATAGTAATGGGTTGAAAATTTTACTGCACATTTTTTTAAAGAATCAATATCTATAATATAGTCAACACACGGTTCATGTATTAAAGTAATCCCTTCTATATTTGTGTTAGCATTATTTGCAATTTCAGTTGAGGAATCATTATTAATATTTTTTAAATTATGATTAGAGTTTATATTATTTAACATTTCACATTTCATATGTTTAGAAAATGTACGATAAGTTGAAAAAGTTTGTGAACAATGCGATATACCACAGCGATAAAAACTTGATGATGTTAATGAATGAACATACTTCAAATGTACCATAAATTGATCGAGTTCAGCAAATACATCTTTACATATAAAGCATATTAAATCCATCGTTTAATTTATTTTGACAAATTATTATGCATAAATATGTTACAAAATATTAGTTTGAAAAAAAAAAAAATTAATAATTTAATAAAAAAAAAAAATAATAATATTAATATATAATAATTACTACATTTTATTATGAAAATTTAAATAGTTAAATCAGAAATTAATGATGTTAGAGAAGAATTTTTAACATCACACTCATTATGAATATCATAGAGAAATTTTTGTACAAAAGTCCAAACTAAAATAGATTGAATGGGATACTGTAAATTGAACATTTGGAAAATTTTAAAACATGTGTCTAATGCACGGACTATGTTAGAAAATTTATAATAGGTGTTGAAATAATATACATAAAAGTCTTTTGTACCATCTAAATCAGCTCCAACAATGCAAATGAATGGTTGTAGTTTTTCTTTTTTTTTGTAAGCGTTGTCAATTCGTGATTGAATTTGAACATGTAAGTCGTTCACTGAAACCACTTGTAATTAAAATGACGTTTTGGCATCGGAAATAGACGTTTTAACTATGCGTCGTTTGTTGGTAACAGGATCTATTTCAAATGATTTGGAAGTTGGAACCAATACAGCATTCATTAAATCCAAAACTAGGTGATTTCTGGTTTCTGCAAAGGCAAAAATAAAAATAACTAATTAATTGAATTAATTAAAAAGAGTTTAAATATTGTACCAATATCTGTATCTTTAATTTCTATTAAACGCTTGAGCAATAATTTGCTGTTTCCATCTTTTATATTTGTGATCATTAATGGAATAATCTTAAAAATAAATTGATCCCAGTTCACAAACAGTGAGTTTCCTTTTGAAGGATAAATATGATCAAAATCAATATCAATCTGAAATAAAATCAATCAAAGAAATAATGTTAAAATAAATAAAAACTTTAAGTGTAAGCCACAAAACGGTAGACTTGTAACATACATTTAAAAACAAAGCCAACCATTAAATATAGGTACATTTATAACTACCTATACTTAGAAAACAGTTCAAAAATTCAATAAAATAATATATTACCAAACTGTAGGCAAATGATTGTTTCAAAATAGGCCATTCATCAAGAATATCAACTATGTTAATATTTCGAGACAATAAATAATCTCTACGAATTTCACAAGTTTTTTGCCATTTTAAAGTTACTTCACTCATAGGTTCAACATTAAACTGAAGCCATTTCTTTAATTCAATTAAATCTTCATTTACTATACATACAAAAATAATCTTTTACTACCTATTACTTAAATTGTTTTATTTACCTATTGGCTATTTATGACTAAGTATAAACTTATTAACTTATAGTTTTTGTATGTAATGTGGATGTTTCCTCTAACATAGTAACACCAGAATTTTTTTTTTCTTTTTTAAGAGGAGACCATAATTTATGTCGTCGTAATTTCGTTAATGTATTATGATACTTTTGGTACAATATTCCTTTTGGTTTTTTACCAGGTACATTAATGAAATATGTTTTCTACAGGGCAATAAAATTTGTTAAAAATTACAATAATTTCAATAGAAAATCTTAAAATTGTAACAACAAACCTTAACTTCAGATTGGAATAAATTAACTATACCATCAGAAATATGCTCAATGATTTTAGGAGATGCACAAACTTTTTTCTGGACCATGTATTCAATAATTATTTCAGACAACATTTTTCTTAGTTCTTCATTAAGCCTTAAATTTTTTTTGTAAAATGACAATATCATACTTCCTTTTCCAGATGAATCTAATATTTCTTGTACACATATCTTAAATAAAAGAAAAAAACCAATACCTATTGTTGTTACAAAGAACTTTTATAAATAAAAAATATTAAGAGGGCGCTACAAACAATATAAAATTTAAAAATATTCACAACTTGATTTAAAATTAAAGTACAAAAAAAATCTAAAGATTTACTAGATAATATTTTCACTTCTAAATTTGTTAATAGGTCACTCAATTCACTCCAATAATTATCATAACAGTGTAAAATGGATTATTTAGAACTTACAATTTTCCATGTTACACGTTTTTAAGACGGGTCTACAGTCTACACCTGCAGGTGTATTGTCCTCTTAAATATATTTTAAGTTACCTATTACCTATTAATTAACACATACCTACCTATTGTAAATGGGTATTAATTTAAAAAGTATTAAGAATTTATTACTTGATTTTTAAAAGAAATTGGACTACTGTGACTGGAGCTTGAAGTAGAGTATTCAGATATCTCAGAATCTGAAGAATAATTTGATGCATTATTTATATTAGTAGTAGACTGTTTCTGCAAAAAAATATGTTACCCATTTAAGATACCCAATATACCAGTTAAACACTTATATTTTGATTAACTTACACTAACAAAGTTAGACTGCCACTTTTTTAATTGATTCTCAAATATAATTCTTTGTCCAAACAAATTTTTTGGACAAATTTCATTTAAGTGTTTTTCGTTTGTGTATTTAAGGCTTTCACATGTTATTCCATATTCTAAAATATAGATTAAATAGTGTTAGGAATTAAGAATTATATATTTATTATTTATATATACATACAAATAAACATATACCTAATATAGCCATATAGGTAACGCACACTAAGTACTAAGTAGTTAGTACCTACAATTTACAAATAATGGTTATGTATCATATTGAAAATCTCCTTCTCAATGTATTTACAAGTACAAACCGTGTAATTGTGTAAATATGCAAATAAAAAAATGTGGGTACTTACCAATAAATGCGTTGAAGAAACAATCTCCTTTTTATTCAATCAATAAATTGAGTATGTCAGATTGATCAGGAAATTCAATACCTTCGATGATCACAGGAGCATTCAAAATAATATCATCCATTTTGAAACAATATGATACGAAAAACGTAATAAATATAATAAATTTATCGTAAATTTATGTATTAAAGTGAGACCACTGAGACCGACTGTAGTTAAATAGTTAACGAGTTAACACTTTTATAGTTTAACATAAATAGGTAACTAGGTAATAACTAGTTAACAACAAAAGTCAAAAATCGCACGAGAACTTACACTAGAAAACTAGGTACGGGAAAAATCAAAAAAATATGAACAGTCGCGTAATATACAGATTCGATAAAAATGTATTGACGTCTAAAACTCTAAAAAACGTCAGACGCGTCCATTTCCGCCGTCTTGCGGTCGCCGTTATCGAAATAATTGTTAGTTTATAACAGTTCTAGAAAATTCCAGCCATAAATGCTAAAAATAAACTTTCGGTGTGTTATTTAATGCAGATAAATGGCATAATATAATTATACATAAGACGTAATTGTATTAACTTTAAGATAAATCTAGTGCTTAAAAATAAATACCCATTTAATTAAATTAAAGATGTATTTGGTTTTTGGTTTAAGGAAAAAATCATTATTTTAAATCAATTTAGTATTAATCTGGAATAAAACATTTATTAGAAATAATGTTTTATTATCATTAAAACATAGAGCGTTAGAGGTATTCAAATCTGTCACATTATTCTTTAAATTAATTATATTTTTTTTACATTTAATTATGTTGTGTGCATGAAACGAAACTACGGACTTCATTATTTCAAACATTTATGTTTCGTAAATTTGATTTAGTCATCTTTAAATTATGGATATGAATGTATTGAATATGTATTTATTTTAAAGAAAAATTGATTAATTCAATATAATTCAGTATTGATTCTAGGTAAACTGTTGTACTTAAAAATAATGTTTCCTTTTCATTAAAACATTGAACGATTTTTTTCTGGGTGTACCTATGGCTTGAAAAAACACATCAGTTTTATTGTAATTTAAATTATGAAATTTTATTTTTATCTGTATTAATCATGTAAAAACTCATAATTTCAAAAGACAACGAATATATAAAAATATTAATAATCATAATAAACATAATCGAAAAATTGTATTACTGGAAAATATTATTTATAAATACATGTGTACGAATTAGATTAGAAAAGATAATTCTCAAGCCCCTTCGGATTACCGCGTCTTTCGGATTAGCCTCTGTTCGGATTATCGAGACCCTGCTGTAGGTACAAAGTCAGGGGCCCCCAATTACCATAATTAAGCCGGCGCCCCGTCCGCAATCCCGGTCCGGCCAGTCAACTCTGGATACAATTTTTGATTGTAACAACAGACTTACAATTTAATACAAGACTCTTCATAAACACTTGATTAGTGATTCAAAAAATACTAAAAAAATAAATAAAATAAAAAAAATATTATTTACCTACCTGTAACCTATAACATTTTCTATTTTTAATCGTGAGTTGGGTGCAGTTGTCCGAAAAATGATAAGGAAGTTGATATCACGACTTATAACATAATGTACCAGGTCCAGCAGTGATCTTATTGGGGGAATAAGATATAATTTACAGTGATGCCTTGTTAGCGGCACTCGTCGCTACGCTCCTCGGCGCCGTCGCTCCGCTCCACAAATCGAAAATATCCCTCGACTTGCTGTGCAACACCACCTCAAGTTGGTCACAGTGTAACCCCTGTTATACCAGAGAACAACCACTCTTATCATTTTTCGGACGACTGTCATCAATAGAGTAATATTTAGCTGTCATACACCGGATTTAGGTATTTTACCCTCGGGGTGATTCCAAACAGGATTGGATAATATAACCTGGATAATATATTATTACCTATAGCCGTGGATTGGATACACGATTATAAAGAACTTATAAGTTATAAGAACTTAAAGTTCTTTATAATCGTGATTGGATAGAAAAACGCAGTATCAACTGTTACAAAATATGATTACGCATATTTGTTATTTTTGATAAGAATGTTGTATTTTTCATATTTGTAGCATTGTGCACCTGAGCTAGCTTCACAAACATCCGAAATTTTTAACCATTCCAGTATTCAACCCTTGTAGTTTGTACTGTTTGTAGTCCAATTTTTGTCTCTGTGAATATTTAACTTAATCTTCATCTGTTTTACGCTTTTTAATTTTTAACCGATTTTTCGTTTATTTGTTGTTGATTCTTGCGCCTAAATTTTTATTTTTAAGAGTTTCATATAATTTGTGGGTGTATCTCTTTTCAACGGTATAAACTATAAAGTATGTGAGTACAAAATACAAATCAAAGATATCTATGGTACAAATTGAATACCTAACTCAATGTATTCTATGTGGCCAAGTATGTATAAAATACAATTTATTTAGATATGAGTTAGGTGTAATCTATTTTATCCAATTGCTGGTTATACTCTGTGGCACCTAACTAGTAATCACTGTTAAATACGTATGTACCTTAGATTGGTAATCAGAATAAAAATCCCCAGACTACAATATTGCTCACGAACACATGCAAATTATTGAACAAATATTTTTTTAAACTCTAACAATTAGTGTAATTACCAACATTATTAATATTTAATTACAAAAATATACTTGTAGTGTAGTAATATATACCTACTTCAAATTTAGAAAATGTTTGATTTTTATAGCTAAAGATTGAAAATGTAAAGTATTACCTACGTTTCTCATAATATTTTGACTTTAATGTCAATAAAATGCTACTAGGGAGCGCTGTTACAAGTTTTACTTTTTGAAGATGAAATATTCAAAACATAAAATAAAAATAAAAATAATTAAGTATTGAACAACAGTTAATGAATGTAGGAACTCAAAGTAAAAAAAAAATCAGTTATCAAAGGTACATACTACTGTACTGCATTGTACACTACAATAGGTAACATTTTAAGTTTTTAATTCATATATCGTATATAATAAGTATTAGTAATAGTAATAGTATAATAAGTAGTAATTTTATCAAAATAACATAAACTAATGTAAAACAAATTTACCTATTTCAGTTACTTAATTTTACAGAATTATACATAATATCGCAAATATTATAAAACACAATATCATTAGTATAAAGTATATGTTTGTAGTTATATATTCTTAATAATGATGGTAGTTAGTAATTACACCAATTGGCGTTTAAAAAAATATTTGTTCAATAATTTGCATGTATTTGTGAGTAATATTGTAGTCTTGGAATTTTTTTTCTGCAATTCTTTAGATCATGTGCGCTACTTATTATAACTTTCTTAAAACAACAATTATAATACCTAATCTTTATTACTTTATAAAGAAGTTCTTTATTTTTCATTGGTATATCATTTGCCGTTGCCACTAAATAGTAAGAATTTATTATCACAAAATTTTTATTTTAATCCACATTTGATACAAAGTCCAGTTATGAGTTAAAAGCTTGGGTTGATGAGCAGAGTAAACGGCCTGCAATCTCCAGGTATCCCCACCAAAAAACTGTATTTGTCTTTAATAATTTTTATGGTTCATGTTCACAGTAACCAAAAAACACTAAACAGAACATAGTTTAGTATGGAGCCATTAAGAACGTATACTAGTGATTCTACAATAAATTCCAAGTAAGTAACTATAGTTAAAGAAACAAGGAAACATTTCAAAAATATGTAATTTTAACCTACATTTTAAAAGAATTTTATTTTATAAAGCTAGGTATTTTTATAATTTCTGTGTCATTTAGTTTCAGTTCTAGAATGTTGACGATTCCGCTGATTAGATGTGATGATCAAGCATTTAATAAAGCTATTAAACAGGAATATATTGATTTTACAGAACATATTGTTGATGATGAATTATTACAAAGAGAGTAAGAACAAAAATTGTATTTACACCGTAGTATAATATGAAATTTTATGATTCTATTAACTGACCTAGCATATGAACAAATATATTTAACAATTAATTTGACATGAAAAATAATAGAAATAAGAGCCAACCAATGATAAAATACTACTAATACAGTACATTGTTTCATGAGAGAAGGAACACCTTTTATGCATCCAACTGACGCCAAAAATAGCACAGAGGCCAAATTTCTCCCACTCCTTACTACTCTGTGATAATCCACATCATGCAAGTCATTGCCGACTGCCTGCCAAAGATTTGGAGATCATAACTGACATGCTCAAGTGGTGGGAAATGCACATTGACCTATGAAATAACTTAAACCTTCTCTCATGAAATTGAGTACAGAAGTTATAAATTACTCAGATAAATTTTTGGTTAGTGAATTGTTTAAGAGAACAGGGCACTAACGTCCATTTCTAATCAACTGTACTGGTGATGAAATTTTGTAAAAATTGTGTTAGCATAACTAAAATATATTAACTTATTAGTAACTACAGATTGAATACAAAATTGAATTTAGAAGTTAGAAGTTAACTATTTCTTTTAAATATTTTTTTTTCAATCATCACTCCAAAAACAAAAAAACAAAACAAAACAAAGCCTATAACATTACAAAAAAGGAATTAATAATTTAAAAGAACTTTTAAAACACACAAAAGATAAAAGGTTAATTGAAGAATATGGTTATAATGTCATAAGAAAATGTTGATGGCGTGTCTCGTGAAATCTTCAATAATTAGCTGAAAAACAAAAATAAAAATGCTAAATGTTGAAGATACAGCTATGAGCTTAAAAAGTTGTGCAAAATTATTAAATTATTATATTATAATTGTTTTTAAAGTTTAAGTTAAATTTATAATGAAATAGTAAAACACGAAAAACTGAATTTAAACATACATAATAAACAACTGTACAATGTGCATGTACCTACATAAAATTTAATACTATAAAATTGTTCCTTATTAGTTATTAGTATTATAAAATATAAACATTCACTCCTTAGAGAAGAATGATAGCCACTTTCTCGGTGACAATAATAAAACGGAAGCCAGCTATAGTTATATAACTGCGATCAGATCATTATTTACTCAAATGTAATCTGCCATATTAATACAAACACAATTTTAAATGCTATGCACATAACTAATTTAACTCATTGTTTAAACACATGATTCAATTCAATGTATAAAGTACATTCACATAATTATCAAACTACCTACCTATTGAATATTTGAATGCATAATAGCAGTAAATATTTAATTTAAGTTAATTTGTTATTTAACAATTAATTATGTGCTAGAAAATATATTTGGTCTACAAGTGTGTTTAATCCAAAATAGTATATAAATTGGTTTTATGAACAAAATAAAACAATTCTCTTATATTATATTGTAATCTATATTATGTTAATTTTAAATACAATTTATTTTGTAGAACTGAAGAAGTAAAATCAATGGATACAGAAATAAAAAAAGAAATAGATATTATTGAAGGTTATAAATTTGAAGGAATAGTTGCAATCGAAAGCCACACTTCAGAATTCATAACTCGTATGAATTCAGACGAGAGATCTAACTTAGAAAATCCTTTAACATTCTTTTGTGATATCTGTGATGAATCATCTTACAGTAAATCACATTTAAAACCCCCGTTACTTCTTTATACTGGAAAATGTCACCATAAATGTCGTACCTGTGAAAAAAGATTTTGTCAAGCACAATATTTAGAAATCCATATGAAAACACATACCAGAAAAAAGTCATATATTTGTGATATTTGTGATGAAGTGTTTTTTCATAAAAGAAGTTTAACAGTCCATATGAGTAAACATACTGGTGAATTGCCATATAAATGTCATATCTGTGATAAAAAATTTCCTGTATCGTCATATTTAAAAAGGCATGCAATATTACACTCAGGAGAAAAGCGATATTGTTGTGGTAACTGTGATCAATCATTTTATCGAAAAGAAAGTTTAAAAGGGCATATTAGAACACATACCGGAGAGAAGCCTTTTAAATGTCAAATTTGTAATAAGGAGTATTTTACAGCATCAGTTTTAAGAAGGCATATAAAAATACATACAGGTGTAAAGCCCTATAAATGTGAAATCTGTGATAAAGGGTTTTCTCATGTGGAAGTTTTAACAGTTCATCAAATAACACATACAGGAAAAAAACCATATAAATGTGCTACCTGCAATAAACTGTTTTCTACAAAATCAAATTTAAAATGTCATACCACAACACATACTGGAGAACGGTCGTATAAATGTCATGTCTGTAATAAAAATTATTCTACATCGTCATATTTAATAAACCATAGAAGAGTACACACAGGAGAACGGCCATTTAAATGTCATGTCTGTGATAAAAGGTTTGCTCAATCAGGTCATTTGAAACGCCATATGAGAATACATACCGGAGAACGACCATTTAAATGTGGTATCTGTGATAAAGAGTTTGCTGCAGCATCAAATTTAAAACATCATACTCTAACACATACTAGAGAAAAGCCATTTAAATGTGATAAATGTGATAAATGGTTTTCTATGTTAACAAATTTAAAAAATCATACCAGGACACATACTGGAGAACGGCCATTTAAATGTCAAATCTGTGATAAAGGGTTTTCTACATCATCAAATTTGTTAAACCATACTAGAATACATACTAGAGAAAAGCGATATAAATGTGATAAGTGTGATGAAGGGTTTTCTCGTGCTGATACTTTTAAATCCCATTCAAAGATACATTCTGGAAAAAAATGATAATATACATGTCATATCTGTGATAAAATTTGAGCTCATGAAATATTCAGATTTAAAAAAGCATACAAAGACATAATATACTGAAGAAGAGCTACAATAATGTCATTTTTGTGATGAAGTGTTTTCTTTTTTCATGTCTGCATGCATGAAAGTGGTCGTTCTTATTTGGAATATAGTTCTTCAAGTTAAACAAAGCGCACAAAAAGTTCTTCTAAACCCATTATAAAAACATTTTTTTCATAAATATAGTAGGTTTTTGTACATATTATGTTGTTACTCTCATTAGAATGTTGAGTAACAGTAAATTTAAGGATTTTGGATTATACTTTTTCAAGTATTTTTTTTTTTTTTAAATTTAATTTCCATGTAACTAAATAAGTGTATGTCTACATATAATATATTTTTAAGTTTTAAAATTGAATTTGGAATTGTTATTCTTTTTTTTTAACTTTGACCAGCTATTTAAGGGAGACCTCTGAATAATTATTCTATAGTAAACTAATAATTGTGAAACCTTTTTCGTGTAAGTATCTGGAGTTTGCAGACTACAGTCTACACGGTACATATCAAAAAATTATTATTTGCCTACAATTTTGTCTCAATTTTAGATTTTGAGCGTAGTGATGAATGTATTGATTTTACTTTGATGTGTGTTTCAATTTTTTTTTTTTATGTGTATCGTATGTGTGTGTACACAATAAGTGGTCGGAATAGTGCTTCGATTTTCAACTTCAGTATATTATATCTTTTCTGGTGAGTAAGTGACTAGTTGGTACATTCGGGAGGTTAACATTTAAAATTCCTAGTAGTTTTCAAAAGCTCCTGGAAAAACAAAAAAAAAAATTAAGAAAAAAGTGGAACTTAACGCAAAATTGATTTTGGTATTTTCTGTAACTCAAAAAAAAAATTTAGTTGGTACATGAAATATTCACTAAATGTTTATCATAGCATTTCCTACGGTTACATCATATAATTTTAAAAATATTTAAACATTTTTAACTATATTCTGTTCAAAATAAGATGATGACCAGGCAGCGACATGTTTTTGTTCCTCGACGGTCAGACACCGTCTCCACTACATTGGCATGTCGGGCGCTGCCACGGAACAAAGTCACGTCCATGCGGCATGCGCACAATTTCGGCCGCCTGGTTATCATCTTATATTGAACAGAGTATAGTGTTGACTCATTTATATTTTAAAAGTTAATGAAATTTCGATTTGTATAAAATTTTTTAAAAATAATGACCATGAAAAATATTTGCTGTGTTAAAAACCTAGAAAAAGGAGTATAAAGTTCCTCGTAAGTTGTAAGTGAAATTAAAAAAAAAGTTTGGTATAAATCCACTATATTTTTTTATGGGCGTCAAGAGTGAGAATTTTGACAAAATTCGTAAAAATCATAAATATTTTCAAATTATTTTGAGTTAGAATTTCATAATAATTTTTATTTTTATGCCTAAGATTTAAATATTTTACAACATACCTTGTTAGTTCAGATTTGTACAACATTCGATATTCACTCTATTTCTTGAATTATAACGGAACGATTTTCTTGTTTTGTTAAAACTAAAAAACAAATAACCGTAGATACTTGGAATTTACATAAAATGTTGTTTTATCATTTCCTGTACTTGATATAATTTTAAAAATATGTTGACTTGTTTTGAGCCGTTGCTGGACATTTACAATTTTCTATTCTTTTTAGTTTTTTTTCTATAAATGTCATTAAAATTTTGTTGGTTGGATCGAAACGCTTATAAAATTAATACGATGCTCCAGATACCTATATTGTGACAATAGTGATTTTTGTTTTTTTCAATGAAATACATTGAACGCTCAGGTTAATTCCAGGAACGTTAATTGTTTGTCCCTGTGCTTTTTTTATAGTCATTGCAAATGCTAATTTAACCGGAAATTAAATACGTTTAACCTGAATTAAAAAAATTTTTTTAGCTTCATTAATAATTTAAGAATAATATTAATTCAACTTACCGGCTACCGTATAATAAGTAATAACAATGACTGACATACCGTCTCCGCTCAGTATTGTTTTTCGTATACAATGATATATATTGATATTACTATACTGAATTCAGATTTAATAATTAATACCATCTATTACAGCGACCTTCTGTCGCCCAATGTACAGCAAAGCGACATCCATTAGGTACCCACTCTTTTTGTTATGTGAATATGTGATTAAATATACATTTTTTGTTGCAATATATTTGTTGTATTATTATTATTTTATAGTATTATATTTTATTCATATATTACATTGTCTGAATATAATTCCTTAGTATGACGTTCAAAATACATATATTTTATTTAACATCTACGTACAATGTTGAGTGGTCGAACCATTTTTTGTAAGTCCATTAATGCCTGACTGCCATTGGATTCGGCCAAAACGATGAACGCGAATCTAAATTTATATACCTATAAAAATTATATATGAGGATTCTTGTTCAAAATTTTCAATCCTCATCTGTAAAAATTGAATGTTTTATAATTTATTAAGTACATTAACTTTGCCAAGTGTCAAGATTATGATGATTCACGTACAAATTTGAACTTAAAATACTTTTTAAAAAAAATTGAAACTACGGATCTTTAAAATTTCTCGATTGGTATAATAATAACTTACGAGTAATTTTGTATTCAATTTCCAAGCTTTTTGACCAGAAAATAACATTTTATCGAAATTTATAGAAAAAAAATCTAAAAAAATTGAAAATTGTATCATGTAAAGAAAATGATAAAATACACATTTGATCTAGTAGAAATCTCAAGTACCTATAGTAGTTATTTTTTGAATAACAGCAAAATTAGAAAATCGTTGTATGAGAATCTGTTCATTTTTAAGTGAATAATCAATGTCTAATCATCTCTTTCTATTTGCCCAGTTTTATGGTACCTATCACAATTCATAATAATCTGATGTTTTCAGTGTTAAATGTAAATTGATTTAATCAAAATACTAGAACATATACCGTGTGTCCCAAAAATCAGGGGCCACTTTACCACTCATTACCATGTAAATATTTTTCAATTATGTTTGCGGGACATTAAACTAGACTAATGGATCGTAAATTTCTATGACTTACAATGTTTTTAACTCATGTATCTTGCGCATGCGCAATAAAACTTACATTTTTTTAAATGGCAACCCGTAATTTTAATATCATATTCGGGTTCATCGATTTTTTTCAAGCCATTTTGATGCATCAACTTGTGTCCTAAACCCAAAATTGACTAAACTAGAGCTAAGTAGAATTTTAAAAATTTAAAAATT